GAGAGAGAGAGTGTAGCGGACCCACCAGGTATGGTGCTCCGCTAGTGGTAGAGATGGAGATGGAGGAAGAAGGGGGAGCAAGATGACGCACAGCGCAGCTCCCACACAGGACTCCAACGCACGTACTCCAGAAATGTGCAAGTGAAGAATGAGCCTGAAAACAGGCAATGGCTGGGGTATACCCCATCGGACTGACGGGACTGGACTGGACTGGCTGGTACCGACAGAGGTACCGGCCTGGACTGGCCTACCCCGAATACAACACAGGCCTGTGAGAACAGGCCAAGGGGCTGGTCTCACAGGCCAACCCGAGGTCCGCTACACGATCCTCAGCCTGTGATGGATCGCCTAGATACAAACATGCTTCCGCCAAGAAGCGGAACTCTACCAAAGAAAAGAAAACCTGAGTAGCCTAGGATGCGGAGTAAGCTCCATGCTGAGTCCATGCGATGCGACCTAAGATATAAAATGTCACAAAACAGCAATGTCACAACTAACAGCCTAAGTGAAAGCAAAAGCAACTAACTAACATATATGTCCTAGGAAAGCAAAAGCAACTAACTAGCATACATGTCCTAGGAAAGCAGAAAGTAGTGACAACTAGATCCTAGAATGTTGGAGGCACTAGCCTCAGTCTGGTAACAACTGACTGGTGTATAAGTCCTAAGAACAGCAAAAGCAGAACAGCTAAATCCTAGAAATGTCGGAGGCAGTAACCTCAGTCTGAGAGCAACAAAGCAATCAACAAGACAACCATATGTCACATGAGAAGTGTGTCGCAAACCAAAGGGTGGGATGGTCTCTGAGGGTGGCGAATGCAGCCTAGGGGTCGAAAACTCCTAAGGGCATCCACACATAGTGACAGGGGAAAACACATGTCATCAGGCTCAATGAGGGTAGGGAGCTGGGAGCGAACAGAACCAATGACCCTAACAGATAGACCATCAGGGCGGGTAATGCTCGACTAAGGGGTGACCGCTATGGAGGGTCGACCATGCAAGGGAACAAGGGAGCCTGGTATACTGGGCGCACCTAGATGAAGCATGCAGGGCTGCCTAACTAGGGCGTGAGAGTCGACGAAGGGTAGAAAGATGATGGGTAAGGGAATCATGCAAATGACTCATAAAGTGAGGGAAGTCGGAGCTAAATCCGTAAGCTGGGAAGCCAGGGCAACACAAGGTCCCGATGCCTATGCGTATACCAAGGGAGAGCCCAACTCAGAGGAACCCGGCTAAAGGGAGACCATCATGCGACACAAGCAGGGTACTGTACAGGGTAAAGTAGTAAGAGAGTGGCGACATCTGAAGTAGGCAGAGTTGATCGTGACGAAGTCCACGAAGCTGCCGATGACGTCCACGATGAGAAGTCCGGAATGTCGTCGAGGAAGAGCCGCAACGTCGACGAGCCGAAGTAGCAAAACTGGAGTGGATGGAGTACTGAGAAGTCAAGGACGTGGGAAGGTAAGTCAGAGTCAATCGTCGTATCGAGCAGGACGACGACGGGTGCGCTGTGGACGCTCAAAAGCATCCGGCTGCTGCTGAAGGTCTGCCTCAGATGGAGCAGGCTCGACTTCAACGGTCTCCTCAGCTGGGGGAGAAGGAGGAGGGTCAGTGGAATGAGGAGCAGTGAACCCAGCACGACGAGCACGGTCATAAGCACGCACCAACATGCGAGCGTGCTGCAAGTGCTCGAGGGGCTCCCAAGTAGCCTCCTCATCAGGGTAACCCGTCCAACGTACGAGATACTCGACGTGGGGAGGGTTGTCGTCGGTGACTCGGCGACCAATGATGTCTGAAACGAGGAACTCCTCGTGGCCGTCCACCATGAGGGGTGGAGGGCGCTCGTATGGTCGTCCAGCGAAACGCTCAGACGGTCTGCGGTAAGGACGCAGTAACAAGACGTGGTAGACATCATGCACACGAGCCTAGCGTAGGTAGTCAGGCAGCTTCACACGAAAGTTGACCGGGCTAGATGCCGTATCAGAACCGACGGCCTGGAGGATGCGGCATGGGCCAAAGAAGC